AGAGATAGAGGAGAAAGAGAGAGTGAAACGGAGGGGGGAAGGGAAAGAGAGTGACTGAGATAGTAGAGAGAGAGGGGGAGAGAGAAAGATATATAATATAATATAGCGAGAAAAGCTGTGAATGTTTTACGCCCATATCGATACAATTTACATCATTAATTAAGAGACGTGCTTCTTCGATCCTGTTGTTCGTGAAGACCCAGGATGAAAGGAGTGCAACATCCCAACAGAAAGACAGAGAAACACTCGATAAAAGATAGATAGATAGATAGAGACCCAGGATGAAAGGAGTGCAACATCCCAACAGAAAGACAGAGAAACACTCGATAAAACTTCCCCTTTGTTTGAATTGAACCATCGTTGTGTTATGTGCTGGACGAAGTGCCCCACGATTACTCCACAGACACCGGTACAAATACAAGGAAGAAAACCTCTGAGAGTTCTCAATGTTTGGAAAGATGGACAGACATTCCACACCCCCCCCCTCCAAATGTATTACATTATATGATCTGCGCATGGCCAAAAGGCCTGCTATATCACTGCGAGGAATAGGCTGGGATAACAACATATTACGATGCAGATAACGCTTAATAGTTATTCTCGTTAGTAATTCATACATCTGAACAGTTCTGCTTTTAGTTCATGTGGAGCATTAAATTAAGATAGGGGCGCTAGAGTGGCACCCTTCAAAGGAGGGGTTGCGCCTCTTCCTCCTCCAGCTCCGACTCTGGTGGAACGACAGAACACGTCCAAGGTCTCCACCTCCTTCCTCTCTGGTTGCAATAAAAATAAGTTTTGACTAATTTGTACTTCTAGTCCGGGAACCATAGTAATAGTATGTAGCCAAGATTCTTACCAAAGACGAAAACTTCGCAGAGGGTTATCTGTCCTAATTTATTGATGAGGCCAAAGTAGCGTCCCTCTGATGGCAAGTCACAGCTGTACTTTGACCTCTTGTGTGACGCAGGAATTCTGGTGCAGGGTTTCCCCCAAAATGTGTCCACGTAATCGCTGACGTGTACACGGATTCTCCCTGGTCGTGCCGTCTGATTGGCTGAAGAAGAAAATGAGAACTCATTAAATATTTGATTTGCAAAATCAAGAAACTGTTATGTTTGTTTCATTTATTGTATGTATTTTTATGTATGTGTTTTTTACGCTTTGATTGGAACAGTAGTATAGATCATTAAGGAGGCAGTATGCAACATATTGTTTTAAAAGAACTACGACTGAAAATATATTATTAGTACTCATCACTGAATATCAGAAAAAGTTTTCCTGAGTTAAAAGTCCTAATCTACGATAAAGAAGCAACAGTGTGTGTATGTGTGTGTGTGTGTGTGTGTGTGTGTAT